TGCACATCTCTAAATGTAATATGAAGTTATGACTTCCCATAGCTCACTCCAAAGTCCCGCCGTCGTACGCCAGCAGCTGTAAAAATGGTCAGCCTTCATTTTTTGCCAACAACACCAGGCGGTTCCTCCAACCTTATGTCAGAAGGGAAGTGCATTGTGCAACAGTGGCCTCAACGTTAGAGAGAGTTTCTTGAGCCAGTTCTTGGATCAGGGGCCTCCAGCAGAGGAGCGTCGGCCGCTCCAACGTCGTGAATAAAAGGGTGTAGCTCACTCAAAAGAAAAAGAGCTCAAGCAACTCGTTTCTAAAAAAATGTAGACTAAATATATTGAATTTGTTTAGTGAACATGTTTTCCACACCATGTGACGTAACATGCAGCTGGATGAAATAACACAAAGGAAACTATGTGTTAAGATTGTTACTAATCTTTTTTCAAATCCATGATGTGCAATTGAAAAAGGAGGACATTCTGTGACGACTCGAAGAGACAGTGAAGATTAACTTGTTTTTATTTTTGTAACCACTGCACTTCCTGTATCTAGTTTCTCACCCTTTCTTTCTCCCCACAGCTGAGTTAAGTTTGCAATTACCTCCACCTGTATTTAAGCCTCAGTTCCCCCCACTTGTCTGTGTCAGGTTATCTTTTGTCTTTCCCAGAGGTGCATGTTAGTAGTCAGAAATTCCCAGTGCTGGTTTTGGTCATCTTGTTTTTTCTTTGTTGCCAGGCCTCTTCCTTTTTTTGTTTCTACAAGATCGTGTGAATTCCGCCTTTGCCTGTGCACCCTTTTTGTCTTGCATTAGTTTATTCTCCAAGTAAAAGATTCCAAACCTGGAAAAAATAAGTTTTTGTTGCGTTATTGCTCTGCACCTGAGTCGAAGTCCTGACCCCTCACACATGTCATGGAAAAGCAGACGTAAACCTGGTGGTCAGAGGCTTGCAATTTGTTTGTGCAACATGCAGAACCAACCTGCCAAATCTGCTTGTGTATTTCTTTTGAGAACTCAGCTAAGGTTCTACCGTGTGGTCAGAAAATGTACCTCTTGCTTTGCCATTTTTCTTGTAGATTCAGGTTAGATTATTTCTACATAACATTTTTCACACCTTTTTGGTTGCTCGGCAACAATCAAAATGTTTACGAAGAAATCTTGTCATTTTACTCTACCGTCATCTTTAGTGACATGTTGTTTTTTACTTTTTTTTACAAACCATTTGAAAAAAATCAGCAGTACATATTCCGTCCTATTAATGGTCACTTTATAGAAGGTATTTGTCCGGTATTGCAGACATCCTGACACTTTTGTAAAGAGTCCAAGTTGCTAATTCGTGAGAGTTATTTCTAACGTAAACTATCAGGTTATGCTGAAACAATCTTGGACGAATACAAATTCTAGATGGATATTTATTCAGCTGCTAAACATGTCAAAGCACTCTAAGCGAGTTATTTAACCGCCTGGAGATTTTAGTTGGGCCACCTTTTATCCCTCCTGCCCTGATATTGTTATACATTTTATAGCTTAGAATACCAAAAGAATTTGTATCTGTGGGTAAGAAATGGGTTTCTTGACTGTATGGTGGCCAACTCATAGTAATGACTACTGCATAGCAGGTCTCCCCTTTTCTTACCGCTTGCTGAGGTAAGAACTTAAAATCATCAGATGGTTCGTTTGTAAAAAGGTTGCTGACGAATAAAAGTTACACGAGCGTTGGTATTGATGTGCTCTTGATAAATTAACAAAGACTCCCAACAGTCTAGATGAGTACACGCCGTGTTTTGGTCATTGTGTTTCGGTTGAAAGTCAGTGGGAACAAAGGTAAAAAAGTATTCCAGAGCACTGTGAATTCTTTTTTGAGACCGCTGATCTCAAGGGCTCTCCTTCTGCCGTGTTATGTGGGAAACAGCATTTTCTTACATTCATCTTTCTCCTTATTACTATAATCAAAATGACTTCTAATTGAAGGCCAATTCTGTCCCATTGAATGACATACAATTATTCTCTGGTCTCTTGTAATACCTCCCAATGGGTTCTCCGTTGGAGTGTTGCTCATCCTCAGTACTTTGCAAAGAGACATTAGTCATTCCTAAGGCACTCAACTGGTTTCTGACATCTGCACTATTCTACTCCAAGAGATTGAGGTTGTCAACTGCAAACCACTTTTGATGTGCTGAAGTTACCCCACGGTGCAGTTATTACCTCTGCAGAGGATTAGCAACTGCCTCAGGAAATTGCTGGATGCCATAAAGCACACTCAACATAACGGCATGTGATAATAATGGTGTTGGCAAATTAACGTGACTTTGAATATGTCTGTACTTTTCGAGAGCGGACTGTAATTAACAATGGCTAAAGAGTAATTCGCAAGAAAAATGTTCGGTTACCGTAAAGACACTGTGAAATACATGTTTTGGTGTGAAAGTCTCACCAGTGTATTGTGTACTTTTATTTAATGTAACTTGACAAAAAAAATGAATTTTTTTCTTATTAGTAGGAAAGCTCCCTCGGCCCGTTTTGATCCAATTGTCCTTGCAAGCAATTGATCTTTAATAACTTAATCAAACAAAACTCAATCAAATTAGTGATTGATTATTGCTCGTCTTGCCCTCCCTGCGAGACAATCTGGAAAGTTACTAAGGGAACATCCAGGTCTGTCACCACCTTAAATTAATCATTGAACTTCTAAAGATACAGAACTATAAGTGTTAACTTTGGTTGCACTATTTTTATTGCATACAATGTACCTTCAACATCACTGAGATAACATGATGGCAGAGATAACATGATGGCAGGCCCTCAAGAAAACTACCCAGACAGACTAAACATAACATTGGAAGGCCGATGGAGAGAAAAATGAAAAGTGAAACAAAAACTCGCAAGCAGATATCAAAGAAACAATGCTGACAAATAGGAGCGGAAGTCTGGCAGATCCCTTCGTTTATCTGACCAGCCTCAGCTGCCCCGTTGAATTTCAGCCGGCAGAAGCCAAATCATTTGCAAAATGGTCACCTACTTCAAGGTGAAACCACAACTGAGCTCTCAATTATTCCACACTGGCATAATACACAGGGGTACTGGAAGTAGAACAGAATTATGGGATGGATGGCCTCCTCACCTCCTGACCCCATCACCTTGATAAAAACTTCCCAGATCACCTTGCTGAAACATCTGACAACCTGTTGCCCCCTGAAGAGAGCCCAAATTACAGGTTCAGTATTGACTTTTGCCCCCAGTGAGCTGGTCTTAGCGAGCTGCCAAAAAGACGGTTTTAATAACAGACAGTTGCAGTCATTTGGCTGTCACATTTTTTTCGAATTGGAAACTCATGAGTCTTTCATGGGGTTGTTGAATAAATGAGGAGAGTAGATTGAGTTGCCTACAAAGACGTGGACTGTGGCACATGGCCCGGGCAGGAATGGGCGGTGAAAGAAAAAGCTAAGCAGTCAAAAGCAAGCAACAAAGGGGAATCAGGTGGCTTTTCTTTTGTAGCAGCAGGACTCTAATAAATACTGTCTACTGTCTAATAAATACTGTATAGTATTTATTCTTTGCTGAAGCGCCTGCTTAACATCAAAGCAAACGCTGAAACCGCTCATGGGAACCACAGCAGACATAAGACCCAGCAGACCCCACCACTAGGAAACCAACCTTAGGAGAAAAGATTCTGCGAGTTGGAAATATTAATTAATATTGTTAATAATTAATATTGTTAATATTATTATTTTCAAGTCAGATTTTGGATAATCTGAAAGGGACCCAAGTATATTTGCCTGTATTTAATAAAAATAATCTATGCTATGATCTTGTAAAGCGTGCAAATTCTTGTCAAAATAAAGCGGCATGTATGATGTGGAATTATCGACCTTGATATAATACACATTAGAAACTGCCTCCCTGTCATGGGTTTATATTCCATATCAAAACACAAATCTCAAACGGCCTTTATTTTATCATCTCATTTTAGGCATTTGATGATTCCACTGTGTGAAAGTCACCACCAAGAGGAAATTGTGCCTGCGTACACCCGGCATTTCCGAAATGTCATTAAGCACAGGGATTTGGATGAGTGCAAGGAAGAACCAGTGGTGTGACTTTGTTTTCACGCTCAGTTTAAGAGACATGATTCGTCTCACAGTGTCACAATCCATCAGCCTGTTTCTGACCTGGAAATTTAAGCACATATCTAATACCTGAGGATTGAGCACAATGGATGTCTCCATTACTCCGAAGGCACTGAAACCTCAAGAATAGCTTTTCTCCTCGTCTTTTCTTCCTGTCTGTTCTTGAGTCAGAAGAAAAATGAGCATGCATTGATACAGCTTGGGGGGAAAAGGGAACATCAAAAGTCCCCATGGTGCCCTAAGCAAGGAAGCAGGGATGGGGAATGAAAAGGAATGGGAGAGAGATCCAAACTTAATGCAGAGCAGCACCACGTTTTATAAAAATGAGGCTGTCCTGCTAGTCTCCCTGGTCATTTCCCATAACCTTCAAAGGGTAACCTAATTTGCTCATGTTTTGCAGAGACACCCCAAAATAAAGTTATGTTGCATGTTACACCATTTTGAGGTTCACTAACTTCTCCTGTATTTTATGACTAATAATATGCAGCATAAATTATTCATATTTGTTATAAATATCTGAATATATGTGATCATTTACAAATGGTTGGTAAATGCTTATAAGCAAAACAAGTGAAAGAGTATACTGTAAATACATAGCAAACAAGTAATTAACACAGATATACATTATATTAAAGTACTTTACGCCCTGCATCATCATAAAAAATGTAAGCTTAACTTCCTGTGATGTTAGAAATATAAGTATTCTATATGTTTCACATACATCATTCTATAGATAATGCACTCATAATTCTACAATACTATGAATGAGTTTTCACAGCCATTTATCCCAGCAACAGAGTAGCAGTTCATGTGACATTGGTACAAACCAATGCTACCCAACACATGCATCTGTACTGCTAATTTAAAAATCAAGAAAAGACCATCATTTGTTTAAAAAGTCCATAGATTGTTTAATACAACATACCATATTTTCAACAATTCAACATCAACAAAATTTTGTTAATTAAAAAAAAAAAATCTGCATATTACGGTTATTGCACAGAACAATTTGAATGTATTTTCCATAGATTTATTTTTTTGTATCTTTTTTATTTTTTATTTTTTTTGTAAAAAGTTGGCTTGGACTAGATTTTTAATTTTAGCCTGGGGTCAAAATAAAAAAAGGAATAATAGGAACCAAAAGAAAACTGAATCCTGTGGTCACTCAGGATCAAAAAAGGCTAGGTACAGTAGCCACACTTTGAACAAAGAGAGCATTCATTATCAGCAGGAGGGAGAACCATGAGCCATGTACAATGATTTTTTTTTTTCTTCTTCCTTGATGCAAAACGGATTACACCAAAGCTGCTTCGAATTGCTCCACGGGTGAAACCATCTGTGTCACTCCAACCATCTGCATATTCTGTCCAGACTTCCATCCCGTTGCTGCGCCGTCTGTAATGTCATCCATCATAAATAACTTTTCCTCACACGCTTTCTCAAAGCCAAGCTGTCCACAGTGTGAACTTGAAAAGGAAAGGCTGTGACCTCAGGTTCTATATGCAGGAATAACTAGGAGCGTACTATGCACAGTTCTTTTTCCCCTGACAAACATTGCACATATACTGGGAATAGCCAACCTGGAAATGATCCTGTAAAGTAGTATTTCCATGGCTTTAACGAGGGGAGCATCGCCATAAATAAATCTTTGATCTCGAAAAAACAGTCAAGAAACAATAACCAACAAAGAAATTATTCTACAGCTTGAGGAGCACATTATATCCCAAAAGTGTGGGCACCACAACTTTTATTCCTCACAATCATGTTGAGCAAAAAAATAACTCCTTTCATATTATTTTTTGAAAGGTTTTGTTGTACCAATGTATCAATGTCAATCATTTTTTTGGAAGGGTAAAGCCGCAGGATAGATGCTGTATTTATTCTTTTAACAGCAGCATCTCACATTGCCTTCTGCATCATGCCCCCCATCCATGTGAGGGCCCTGTATGGGTTACATATGAAAATTATGGATGAGCGACACTGATACTGTTGTCCTATACTGGGCGCAAAATATACTGGACGCAAAATGTTTCATTAAATAATTTCCCAATTGCTCAAATCGTGTTTGTCTATTCAAACAGTTGTAAGAATTTGATCAATAGTAAAAGAGATGTATTTGTATATCACTCCGTGTATGCATTTACAGAGCACTTGCATTTGTTTATTCCACATTTCACGTTACATAATGACCGATGTAAACATTATTCATCATTGTACTTTCTTGTTTTGGATGTATTTGTGATGAATGATTCAAATCCAGTTTTATATAGTACACAGTATTCCTCGAAACATATTTGTGCCACACTATGTTAAGTATTTCTGCAAACTGCTGGGAGATGCCTCTTTTTATAAAATCAGGTATTGTGACACAGACATACTTTACATTTGATGGATTACAGCAACATTATTCATCACTTTAGGAAAGAAAACAGACCATTTGGAGCACATATAATAATGGTGAAGTTGTTTGAATGCATCAACTTTGTATAAATGTGCTCATCAACCCATATAAATCTCACTCTTAACTTGACATCTAACCTTGGCAGTAAAAAATAGAACAAACACTAAATTAAAGATACAGACACAAAACAGCTATGGCCAATCTATGATCTGCCCCTCGTGTTTTTCTTTTCTGATATATGTTTCCCAGTATAAATCCACAGGAGAATGAACCGTTTATGAGAAATTTGACTTCCAATTAATGCCCTAAAGGCCTTGTAGGAGCCAACGATAGCTCATAGCGGTGGATGTGCTTTTGTTCCCTCTCATTTGTTTAAGTCAAGAACTGCCTTCCTTCCTAGTGCTTCATTCAAAAAAAAATTGTTAACAGACCAGGATCCACTGTTTTGTAATTGGGTAAAGAAAATGTCCTCTTTTCCATTTGTCTTGTTTTTGTTGTGTCCAAAACCAGCTCCGTTAAATCATTTTCATGTTAAACTTGCGAGGCGCATCCACCGTGCTGCTGCTCATGCCAGCGTCTGATTTCCGTGGCACATACTCGATCTCAATGTTGTGCTTGGTGTTGCCTTTACCTCTGCTCCAAAGGAAGAGCAGCACCAGGCAAAACAAGACGACACCGAGAAAAGAGATGAAGCCCATTGTGGTGGCAATGATCAACGTCTTTATATCGAAGGGGAAAGGGGCGTTGGCTCTTGTACCGTTAGCACCGGTTTCTGCGGGCTGGTTGGAGATGAAGGCAAAGGTCTTGTTGGGCTGGTGTGGCCAGTCAGGCGAGTAGCTGTGAATGTGCAGGTGAGCAAGAGAGGTGTCGTTTCCTCCAGCGTTGCTAGCTATACACACATATGTACCATTGTCTTGAATCTGGGCATATCTGACCTCTAGGGTGCCATCCGGCAAGACAGAGAGCCTCCCGATGGTCTTGGTGGTGATGAACTTTTTCTGCGGGGACAGCCACATTATCAGTGGGGCGGGATCTCCATCTGCCTGGCAAGCAAAATGAACGATGGCTCCCTCGTCGACAAATTTCTGCTGGGATTTGCGATCTTTAATCCTGGACTTGCGACATGTGAAGTAGTTTGGCTGCAGGACATCCGGAAAGTCTTTGAATTCTTTGCCTTGGACAAACTCAGGGGAGGCGCAGGTAGGCTGCTGCCTGTTGAAGTTCAGTCTCCAGCGTCGCCGAAAAACCCATAACAGTCGGCAGTCGCAGGCCAGAGGGTTGTCATACAGGGCAAGGGTTTCGAGGTTTCCGACTGAATGGAAAGCAGACTCCTCCAAAGTAGTAAGAGAGTTTCCAGATACATTAAGAATCTTCAGGTAGTTCAGACCACGGAAAGAGTAGGGCTCAATCATTGCAAGTCTACCCCCGACCAGGTGAAATTCTTGCAGACGCAAGAGATCATGTAGCTTGTTCCCCTCAATGGTATGGATGGGGTTATATGAAAGATTTAGAAAGCGCAAATAAACCAAGTGCCGCAAGGCCACATAGGGAATTGTGGTCAGGTTGGCATTTGCAATGGTCAGGGAGGTCAGATTTAATCCATACAAGCAATTTGGAGTCATTGTATCTAGGTATGGCCAATTGGCTATTTCCAAGACTTTTAGCCGATAGAGCCTTTTGAAGGAATAATCCCGTATGACATTGATGTTGAGAAGGCGCAGCCTGAGCGTGATCAAACTGTGGAGGTGGGTAAAAGCATCTGTTGGCACAGAGGACAGGTTGCACTTCTCAAGACTCAGGTGCTCGAGGCTACTTAAGCCATGAAAAGCCCGGTGAGAGATGAAAACCAAGTCGTTATCACCCACCTCTAAAGATCGCAGGTTGTACAAATCCTGGAACATGTAGTCCAACAGGATGACGATCTTGTTCTCACTGATGTCCAGCTCTGTGAGATTGCTCAGGCCAGTGAAGACACCAAGTTGGATCAGCTTAAGCTTGTTGCTACGCAGACCCAATGTCCGCAAGCCGTAAAGGTTGTTGAAGGCTCCAGGTTCAATAGTGGAGATTGTATTTTCACTGAGCTCCAGGTGTTCCAGGTTAGGGAAGATGGCAAACTCGTCAGGGTTGATGGTTCTGATGCGGTTCTTGCTGAGGTCCAGCAGTTTTGTTTCTGCAGGAACGCCCTCTGGAACTGTCATGAGCTTCTTGCGGTGGCACATCACAGAGCGCTCTTGAACGTTGCACTCGCAGCGGGATGGACAGCCGGTGGTGGAGCCAGAGAGCACAGTACCCAGCATCAGGATCAGAATGGGCTGCCAACAAGCCACCAGGTAGCTGTGCCCAGTCGCTTCCCTGGCCGCCATCTTATCGGTTACCTACGCAAACACAGAAAAGAGGAAAAATATTTAGTTGTGAAATTACTACATCCACTTTTGCCATTTTTTTTTTAGACAAAAGGAATTTCCTCATACAAATAATGCTCTCATGAATCTAGCAATTTCATGCGTGGTGGAAGTGGAGCCAAGCAGTGTAAACGTACATTAAAACTATTGCCTTTGGCCATTTGGTTCATTTGGTTGGTTCAACAAAAATAAGTGTCAAAAAAGAGCCCCTGCTGGCGTGACACAATTCCGAACAGAACAGTGAATATGAATCCCGCTGTGATATTCATGCTTCACACACGAGATGAATAGAGGTGGCATGTGCTTCCATAAATGAGAGTGCTGACAGGTTTGAATTTTGCATCTAGCACTTTTCTGCACACAAGCTTCAATGGGTATTTCAAATGCAATTAACTGCTGTGAATGTACTGCGTTTTAGCAAACCTATATATGTGATATGAGAGAGGAAGAAATTATCTAAATGATTAGGGATTGGTATCGTTTGGTTTTTTTCCGATACCAGTGCCTAAACCGATACTTTTCTTTAAAAGAACGCAAAAAACACTGATTGAAACAAAAAAGAAAGGTTTTTTTAATGCCAAATTGAACAATATATTATTTACTAACAAAACTGTAAATAGAAATAAATAAACACTTGGCTTCAAACTACGGCTTTTTAACTTCAAACTATCAACAACATATCAATTATTTACAGTATACTTAGATTTCCCCCTCTGCAAGAGATTGTGTACCTATTGTTCACTGGAATTTGGGAAATATTAATAATTCAATTTTAGATGTATGCTCATTGTGCAGGAACTAAAATTGGATTGACGCCCCTTGTTTGTCTCGATTTGTTGACGTCATGATTGCAGCAGGTGCAACACAGACAAGCTGCATGAGGCACGAGAGTATATCGTTTTTCTACCGTCTGTGTAAATAAAGTTTTACATCGGCTCAGGCACCAAAAGCAAGCACCGAAATCTGCGTTACGTTTCAGTACAGTAGGTAGACCTACCAGTCGTATAGGAACCGGTACCCAACCCTATAAATGATACAAAAAAAAATAATCGAATCCCAACTAATGACACTGATGTGCATACATCTTGCACTATACACTCATTGTGCATGCTGTTGAGTGCTCAGCGACCCTCCCCCCGCCCCGGGATGGTGGCAAGCATGATGTATGAGCTGTTGCAAACTCTCGACTCGAGCAATCCTTTACGATAAAATATAGACCATACACCAACAGGGAATTGGATACAGAAAACTAAATACAGGGTTTTAGAGCAGAAAACAAACCTTTAAATTCGAATGCCATCTGTTAGCATGCCTCCACCCCTTCCACTAGCAATGTAATTAATAAATGATTGTGTCTTTTTAAAATGCGTCGTTGTTTTTAAACATCCATTATGGTACAATTTTTATTTTAAATAGAATAGAACGTGGGAGCATAATTGATGCTTTGATTTGATGATAATTATAAAATATTAGGCTTGAGTATAAAGTAGATTAAATTAAGATATATATATAATAAGATAATATATGATATATATTTTCATTTTTTATTGAAATCATTTTTATTTACGTAAACCAAACAATTTTTTCTAGTTTCTCTAGATTACCATCCCTAGTGTTAAAGGAAATGATTTTCAACATTAAAGCATGTACAGTTGGATTCAAATTCTTAATGCATTAAAAGACTTAATGCAAATGTGCAAGAAAAGAAAAGTAGAAACCATGTCATTCACATCCATTTCACACTCACAAAGACATGCCTCTGGGGACACTTGTCTATGAATCAGGAGTCAGGAAACATTTATTGCCATAATATGTCAGACATACAAGGAATTTGACTTGGCGGTTGGTGCGTAACAGCAGACAGTACGACAATGGACGACAAGACAACAGTGCAGGAGGAATCAAATAAAATATAAGGCTATGGGTTAGTTTAAAAATAAAGGAATAAAAGTTTTAAAAGTTTAAACTATTTAAAAATGTAAAATGTTGACAAAATATGTACGGCTTTAAATTTGCTTTTAATATTAGATAGCAATGTGTAGCATTTGTTAAGAAGGATAGTGCACACGTTGGCCCTTCACTTGATTTCATGGACCATATCACACAGGACAGACAGGGACTGTAGAGTAAAGTGGAAAATATCTCTGACATTATGGTTGTATGATTGTTGACAGTTAATTACGGGGGGACATGTTACTCCAATTGTGGTCACAACCAATAACATTTTCCCACTAAACCCGCGGACGAACAGCATCACACTCATCAAAAGATGATTCATGGATTAGAATTACTTGACTCAATTTCTTATTTCCTCTGAGGTCAAAGTTCAGATTGGAGATTTGATGATACGATCTATAATCAAGTGAAACCAAGAGATGATGCAGCTTTCTGCCTTCAGCCATTGTTAACCATTATTCCTTAACCCACATTGATCAGTGCTGAGGGCACTGAGATGGAGTGGTGTGGTGTCTGTGGATAGCATGATAAGACGCACAAGAAGGACCGGCCTTATCGCAAGTTCAATTCCATCCGTCACCATGTATCATGTGCCTATTGCATATTGGATATGTCATTGAGATGCTATTATGTCCATCCCTATTACCACTGACACGGAAACCCAATTAAGAAAATGATAAAATCATAATCCCCCGTTGCTGAAAGTCTGCAAACTGCAACTTCAGCCGGTTGTGGACCCCAGTCTGGCCTCTCAATGAGTGCTCAAACAACCCTTCAAAACAAGGTAGCTCTGATGCTTATGGCTTCAGCAGCAAATAAGGGAAACAAGTGAAGACAGCAACACATTAAGATGAAGAATGACATCGAGTGAACATTTGCGGCACTGTTTTGTTAATGATCTGGTGTTATCCTTCCTTACCAGGCATGTAGTCTGAATACAGTTCTTCATACCAATCAGCGCGCGAGTGAGCGCCCGGAGAATTACATTAATCGAGGTGAAGTGAGAGGGGGCGTGCTTCAAGAAAAGGATGCGGTGGAGGAGACGAATGACGTTGGCGCTGAATAAATTAGGACCCACTAGTAGAAAAATGTAACGTTTTGAGTCCAAATCTAATTGCTATTGCCTGTTACAGTTGCAGTTTTACATTAGATCAAGCCACCGTTTATTATTTAGTTATCTACAAGAAGCACAATCAAAACGATGTCAGAACAGGTATTGTAACTACACACGCATCCCCCAAAGCTTTCGTCTGCCTGTCGCAAGACATCACTCCTGAGCCTTGTCAAACACCTTGATTAAATACCTGTAAGCTTCTGGGAAATCCCTAAGATAATGCTGAAGTTAACTCTAGCACAAAGTGTTAAAAGCCTTTAAAGCCCATTCCTGCTTGGTCAGCTGGAGGGCAAATCCCTAATGGACCCAGCTGCGAGAATTGATGCACTTGTTACTGTTTACATGGCCTAGGACAGTTGTGTTGTAAGCATTTGGCACAATTATCAATATCCCCCGTAGTGGGGCAGTGTGCCTATTTTTTGTGTTAATTTCTAATACACTAACATTATTTTCAGTTATTGCTATATACTATATAAGATTCTTAATGGTTGATTCTGTTTAAAAAATAGCGGGTTGACATAGATTGACAACCACACTTTGGCTAAACCCAACCGAACCAGGCGAGTGTGAACTTTCAAAGTGCTGTAATGTCGCCGGGATGAATTTGGAGGGAAAGGTTACCCTCGTGTCATTGAGAATCTGAGCTGCCTGGTGAGATTGGACGCTGTGGTTGTGCCTGTGAAATGGCGGGGCTTAAATGTAAGCCGACGCCCGACAGATGGACGGCAAAGCCCTAATCCGGGCGAAGAAGCCGGCCGCTGCAACAAGGTACAGAATTCCAATCGAGGGGCCAGCTGTTGTGCTGAACTCTGCCATGACACCTGTTGACATGTTCCTCCTGAACTTCAACTCCAAAAGGGGTCAAATGATGTTTGTGTGAAGGTTCTCTGCTCACTGATGTCTAATCCCACCACACAGCCACCAAGTAATTGAATTAGGGAGGTTTATATCTAACAAGGCACTCGTCGATAGTCTTTTATGTGCAGCTCTCGATAATGCAGATATCTGCACAGACTATATAACATCCAACATAATATTCAAAATATTCAGCAACACTTCAATCCTTTTGTATCTCTTGTTGCAAACGCAACAATGAAACTCAACTTCATCAAGATTACTTGCAAATTTTCTTCAAAGGTACCCACATACTTGACATTTAAGGATTTGTTAAAAAAGGTCTGCTTATGTCTGAAACAGAGCATCTAACTTTAGACTTTTAAGGGTTCATAAGCCTAAAACCATGTGGACTGCTGACCACATGGTTTTAGGCTTGTGACCATTTGCTGTGACTATTGAGAGTTCTAGGTTGTGCTCATTTAGAGTTATAACCATAGGTTAACTGGTTTTGGTTGAATTTAGACTATATTTATGTTTGCAAATGACATATATTGGACTTATCTTAAGTGGGATTTCACTTCATCTATATAGGCTTACTGTCAAATTTTCACGTGTTGATGATAGTGGCATTCATTTCGATCTGTAGTCTAATCCAGTGGTCCCCAACCTTTTTTACCTAACGGACCGTTTTTATGTCAGACAATATTTCGCGGACCGGGCAAGAAGGTCTGGCGAAATAACGGGGCGGTAGTAGATGTTGCGGGTGGACCGACAGATGGGGGGGGGGGGGGTAGGGGTGTAGTAGTCGCGCACTCATGTTCGCTGGTGGGCGAAACTGCCGTGCACGGTAGGAGAACAATTGTAAACGTGAAGAAAAGCGCTTGGTGATGCTTGGGAAATATGCCAAGAGAGACGACCGCACATAATTAGGAGAGAATCCGGTCAATTTTCAAAATAGAAAAAAAACCAAAATCTTTCTGTGGTGCGGTCTGGACCGGCCGGCCCACCGGGGATCACTGTTCTAATCATTTTGGTAACTCTGAATACATTACAAATGTGTCCTATG